TACCCTGCGGATCACTTCCTGTGTTGGCGATATTTTTAGCATCCTCACCCCAAGTACAAATATTTCTGTTCTCGATAGTGCTCCCGTGTCCTTTTCTCACGGATGTTTGTTAACGTCGCCTGTGAGTTCCGCTTTCCTTGCCAACGTCTCTTCCCAGGAAATAGTTTTTTTGATGGATTGTAGGGAAGTCATTTAATTGGAGAGCTTGATTAATTTCTCTTGGCGATGGAAGTGGGATCCACCCACAAGAAATCCCGAACAAGTCCTCCACCAATCGACAAGGAGGACACGTCTTATCTGTTTCAGTCTTAATGGCATTTGTAATGGATGCAGATAACTATAAACCACCCAATGTACTGCGGTTGTCATCGTGGAAACCCCTCAGTGTGCAGAAGCTGCCAACCCAACATTTCAGATTCTCTATTTACACCTCGGCCATAGTATTAGAGGACAGTATAAAATAAAGGCATGTAATAACCCCTCAGGGCTCCGGGGATATTGATGCACTTTTCCCCAGGATCACTAGTGTGACATCTGCATTTCTGCTCAGACACGACCACATCTGGTCCCTGTATCATGCAATTTGAGTAACCACCACTAAGGCATCCAAGGTGGAGGTGGGTTGGGGGAGGGCAGATTAGGTTAATTTCACCCCATCAGTTGGTGTATGAGGCCAACAGGGAATATTCCTCCCCTTTTAATAGGGGTCTCCTCCTCTTTTTTTGAGCCAGGTCTCCTCCTCTTTTTTTGAGCCAGGTCTCCTCCTCCTCCTTTTTTGAGCCAGGTCTCCTCCTCCTCCTTTTTTGAGCCAGGTCTCCTCCTCCTCCTTTTTTGAGATAGGTCTCCTCCTCCTTTTTTGAGCCAGGTCTCCTCCTTTTTTTGAGCCGGGTCTCCTCCTCCCTTTTTTTGAGCCGGGTCTCCTCCTCCCTTTTTTTGAGCCGGGGCTCCTCCTCCCTTTTTTTGAGCCGGGTCTACTCCTCCCTTTTTTTGAGCCGGGTCTCCTCCTCCCTTTTTTTGAGCCGGGTCTCCTCCTCCCTTTTTTTGAGCCGGGTCTCCTCCTCCCTTTTTTTGAGCCGGGTCTCCTCCTCCCTTTTTTTGAGCCGGGTCTCCTCCTCCCTTTTTTTGAGCCGGGTCTCCTCCTCCCTTTTTTTGAGCCGGGTCTCCTCCTCCTCCCTTTTTTTGAGCCGGGTCTCCTCCTCCTCCCTTTTTTTGAGCCGGGTCTCCTCCTCCTCCCTTTTTTTGAGCCGGGTCTCCTCCTCCTCCCTTTTTTTGAGCCGGGTCTCCTCCTCCTCCCTTTTTTTGAGCCGGGTCTCCTCCTCCTCCCTTTTTTTGAGCCGGGTCTCCTCCTCCTCCCTTTTTTTGAGCCGGGTCTCCTCCTCCTCCCTTTTTTTGAGCCGGGTCTCCTCCTCCTCCTCCCTTTTTTTGAGCCGGGTCTCCTCCTCCTCCTCCCTTTTTTTGAGCCGGGTCTCATTCCCTTTTAAAAAGATTCCTACCTCCAGCAGAGTTTTTTCCTAGACAGCTGCAGAGTTCTATAGATCTGAATACTGTACAAATACACCAATACAAAGTGATGGGAAATCCAAAATGTTAACTCTTCCCACGAGGGGACCTGTTTAGAGGGATTTTCCCCACTCTTCCTGGTGTGTCACCGGGACAGGAAGTGAAGGCAAAACTCTTTAACAGGGCACAGGCAGCAAAAAAAATAACCTGACACGGGTTTTCCCATCCCCTATTCTATCCACAACCATACAAAAATCAGTTTGGTGTAAATGCACTTGAATGTATACAATGTACACACTCCTTCTGTCCCTGGCAGGATCTGATCTCTTGCATCATTTTGCATACGTGTGTATTAAATGTACAAAATGTGCAGCTGAGGAAATCTTTCCCCGCGCCCCGTTGTGTGTCTACGGGGAGCTTTTCTCTCCTCTGCCAGGTCACAGGATAATAGGACAGATCAATGTTTTTTGCTCAATAGAGAACCGTGTGCTGTTTTTTATAATCCCTTTTGCTTGCCTGCTCTCCTCTCATCCAGGTGGAGGTGATAAAGAAGGCTTATCTCCAAGGCGAGGTGGAATTCGAAGAGGGGGAGAGTTGCGAGGATCACGCTGCCTCCCCTCGCAACGTGGGGCACAATATTTACATCCTGGCACATCAGGTGGGTTCCTTACATAAGGACACGAGGTGCCGGCGTGTTATGTAACGCCGGAGCAGTGTAAGGTGTCCTCGCGCATGGACACGCTGTCCTAGTATCTCTGCGGTTGGGTGTGCCAGAGCTCGGCACATGTGCCCCGGCGCACACCTCAATAGACAGCAGTGCAGTGTTTGGTTTCCACACTGGGCACGGCGCCAGGCTGCTCGGATAACAGGAACTGCGCTACGCTGAATGAGAACTAAAAAGTAATTCAGAAGGGTTTTATTTTCAAGTCTATTTAAAAAAAAAAAATTGGGCGGGTACAGCTGGTTCTGCCTCTTGATAGGCTCCCCCCTCCCCGCTCCGATCCACCAGCGCTGACTGGCAGAACGGATGGGGGAGGGTACAGCTGGCTCCGCCTGGCTCCACCTCTAGATAGGCAGAGCCAGCTGTCACTCACGCAGCTGGGGGGATCCAGACATAATTGTCGGGATCCGCTTCAGCTGCGGCGTCTCAGTATACCGCGAGCAGTAGCTTGCGGTATACTGAGCTTAGGGTGACGGGAGGACGCTAGTTTGTGTCCTCCTGTTTCCTTTAAAGGAGAACTATGGGGTTAGGGCTTTTCCCCATAGTTCTCCTTAGGGTAACATCTGCCGAACGAGCTGTGGGAACGGGAAGGTTGCTGTTGCTTTGCATTTGCTGTTTCTGTACCCGGGGCCGCCTTTGGCTTTGGTACTTCGAGTCACAAACCCAAGTATGCAGTTGTCCTAAATTTTGGTGCCTGTTCAGAATCAGTAACTCAAAGTACAAAGGGCAGGTTTGCACCTTGTGCCACGTCCTGCGTTTTTTCCACACCAGATTAACGCAGGTCACTGCAAGGGCTTTATATGGCTTTCTATGTGCCCAGTTCATACCACAATGCTGTGGAGATGCGCATTGCAGAGAACAGGGGCTGTCACCAGGCCGGGTGACACCCGGTGTGCATGTCATTACTTATACACGTGATGCCATTATGCACGCGCACTTCACTGCAGGCAGCCAACTTGATGATGGACGCCGGCAAAAAAAAGGAGAGGACTTTCATCCTGCGGGATAAGATAGGCTGACTGGGTCTCCTCCTCTTTGAATGTCCATTCTAACAAAGTGTTCAATAAAATGAGCATTTGGTGATCCTTAAAAGGAGAACTATGAGGGGGGGGTGCTTTTCACTCACCTCATAGTTCTAGCCGACCTGTGACAATGAGACTGTCGCAGGTCGGCTCAGTAGATCGGGAGGTGAGCGAACACATACCGGCGTTCGCTTGCCTCTCGATCCTGTCACGGCTCTCTGCCGTGACAGTGTGAGGGGCTGGATTCCCCCCTCCCCGCTCCGATCCACCAGCGCTGACTGGCGGAACGGACGTGGGAGGGGGCGGGTACAGCTGGCTCTGTCTCTAGATAGGCAGAGCCAGCTGTCACTTACGCAGCTGGGCGGAACTCGACATCGATGTCGGGATCCGCTCCGGCTGCGGCGTCTCAGTATACCGCGAGCTGTAGCTCCCTACATACTGAGCTTAGGGTAACGGGAGGACGCTAGTTTGTGTCCTCCCGTTACCCTAAGGAGAACTATGGGGAAAAACACTGACCCCATAGTTCTCCTTTTTAAAGGATTTTTCGGTGTGCTGGTGACGTTCTTCATAACCAATCTATGCATACTGTGGTGCCATCCGCAGTCATTACGAGCACCCTCTCCCATTGTTTGGGATATCCGGTTAGGAGTGCAACAAGATCTTTTTTTCTTTTATCCCTCCTCTTGGAGAGCCTGACATTTCAGAGAGGGTGACACCAAAATAACTGACAGGCTGGCACCACTGGCAGAGAGCTGCCTTAAAAAGCAGCAGGTATTTATTTTAAAGGGAAATTCCACCTTTTGGCAGGAAAATAATAACTGCAGACCTCTTTATAAAAGAAAAGATATGCAGGTATTAGTTTTTTTGCGTAGGAGCCAGTAAAGCATTGCAACCGCAGTAGATCGCAGGTGGAATACTCTGGCTCCTGCAGACTGTTCCTCCATATTGGTATGGGCCAACTCCATGCAGATAAAGTTCAGACTGGGATTTGAACTGGGGGACCCCCAGCGCTGCTAGTGCAAAATGACAGGGAGAACTCTCATCTGCTTGTATGTGGCGATCCCTCGGCAGCACAATCGGCAATATGTCGCTTTCTATTGGCGAGAGAGCGACACATGCAAGCAGGTAAGTATTTCTCCTCCCCTTCTATGTCCTCCATAGTGACCCTGCCGCTGGGTGACCTCAGCCTAAGCTAGTATGTACTGTGTTTTTAAAACAATCCCACATCTGGTCTGTGTTTAGGTTTTGAAATAAGTTTTCCCATTTTATTTCCCCCACTAGGTTGCGCAGCTTCTCAAAGTTGGCCCTTCTGAAGTTTAGGGTTCTAGTTCTAAAAGCCTCCCAAATAAATTACTATACGATATCCTACAGCTATACAATTTCATGTGCTGGACAATGTATAGACCACAAAGTTGTCGTCTTGGCATACTCTTCAACCTTCCTTGAGTGGAACGATATCAATTGTTGGGTTTTTTCCTCCTAGCTTGCGCGACACAACAAGGAGCTCCAGCACATGCTGAAACCGGGAGTGCAGACGGGGGATGGAGATGAAGCTCTGGAGTTCTACGCCAAGCACACGGCCCAGATAGAGGTGAGGGCAGGGTACAGATGGCGGAATGGGTTGGCGGGTTCTGGAAGTGGTTTTTGATGGTCTCTTGCGCTGCCGTGTTTTCAGATTGTCCGTCTGGACCGCACCATGGAGCAGATTGTGTTCCCTGTGCCGAGTATATGTGAATTCCTGACCAAGGAGTCCAAACTGCGAGTTTATTACACAACTGAGCGCGATGAACAGGGAAGTAAGATTCACGACTTTTTCCAACGCTCAGAGGACCTCTTTAATGAGATGAACTGGCAGAAGAAACTGAGAGGTGAGAAGACGGAGGTCCAAGGTATTGGAGCGTAACTGATGAGAAGGCTTGCTGGATCACTTGCTGGTGGTCCGAAATGTGTTCTGATTCTTCAATACGTTAGAATGTGAAATTTTAAGACACTCAATGTCATTATGGTTTGTAGGCTTTAAGTATCGTGTACTGGGCTGGGATAGGCTTGTTGGAAATGCCACAGGGGCATTGCTGAAAACACCCAGGGCACATGGCCTGGTCTTTTATGGAGTTCCTCCGGGTCTCCTTTGCAGTTTCTGTTGACCATCCCAATTATGATCCTATAGACCAGGGGTAGCCAAACTCCGGCCCTCCAGCTATGGTGGAACTACAAATCCCATGAGGCATTGCAAGGTTCTCACAGCCACATACATGACTCCCGGAGAGAGATGCATCATGGGATTTGTAGTTTCACCACAGCTGGAGGGCCGGAGTTTGGCTACCCCTGCTATAGACAAAACATTCTTCAGTTTTTCATGAAATGTAGTTCTGAGATCATTTGTGTCTTGTACATCCATCGTGTTCACATTATCCTTTTGGAACTGGCAGATTATTTACATTTAAATTCTTTTGGGAGGGGGGGGCGCATTGATAATTCACTTGACTTGCACTATATGCCACAGCATTGCATACATGATATTGAAGCTTTTTTTAGGGCTTAATTAGTGGTTTAAAGTCTGTTATGTTGTCAGCAAGCAGCAATGGCATCCCTAGGTACCTTTTTGAGTGTCCTTATGAGTGTCCTGCTTCTTTGGCTCAAGTACACTGTCAGCAAATCTAGCGAAATGGCAGGAAAGTTCCACAAGAACTAGGAACCGACCAATGGAGGAAGACTACAGTATGAGGTAGAAAAGAGATGAGGTTGGAACAAGAAACAACCTCACTTTTTATTGTTGTGGTTTACTACCAGCTATGGGAAAGTTCAGACTTAGATGCCCTAGGATATTTAGGAGCCTAGGAACACTGTGTCTTAACGTTGAAGGAAAATTTAGGCAAAGCAAAAAACATTTTGGATTAGCTCACTTTTACACACTGTGTAGATCAGTCAAACAGATGGACAACCTCACCCTCAACCTAAATTCATACAGAACCTGGAGATTGATGGAGAAATGGAGGCTGATTTACTAATGAATTTGAGAATGTTCACATAATTGTGTCAAGATTCACTTCATTTATACACTAATGTGAAGGAAAATCCCTGTTTATTTCCTCTGCCTATGGTTTGGTTGGAAATTTGAAGTGAATCTTCACACAATCATAATCTTGAATCCTTTAGTAAGTATCTCCCGTCTATCTCCCACTCTGCCTTTAGGGAAGCCTATCCCACCTCAAACTAACCACTCGACCATCACGTTCTCAAACAATTCATCCCCACACAGCTCCCTCCTCATGTATCACTTGCCCCTCCCTTTTAGACTGTAAGCCCTCATGGGCAGGGCCCTCCTTACCATCATGTCTTGTATTGTAATTGTAAAGTGCTGCGCAAACTGTTGGCATGATATAAATCCTGTATAATAATAAGTACGCCTCATATCTAGAATTTAGTCTGAAAATGTAAGAACCAAAAGTTGAGTATCAGGACCTACAACTGAAACTTTTACAACTGTGGTTGGTGTTACTCCAGGGACTCGTTCAAGACCTTCACCTACAAGAGATCCTCATTTTGAATAATTGCGCTCCCTTTTTGTTTTGTGTCTTGCAGCGCAGCATGTCCTCTACTGGTGCTCTCGGAACATGACCTTCTGGAGCAGCATCTCCTTCAACCTCGCGGTCCTTATGAACCTCTTAGTTGCTTTCTTCTACCCTTTTGTTGGTGTTCACGGAGGTCCGTATTGTACAGTAACTTGACGTCCATCAACCTGACTGAACCCATAATAAGGGTTTTCAGACCACATGCTTTTGTTTGTTTTGTAGGCACCCTGGACTCACGCCTCTCTGGCCTACTCTGGACAGCCATGTTGGTTTCTTTAGCCATAGTCATTGTACTTCCCAAGCCTCACGGGATCAGAGCACTGATAGCATCTACCATCTTACGACTCATCTTCTCCATAGGGCTTCAGCCTACGTTGTTTCTACTGGGTGCTTTTAATGTGAGTCCTCTGTGTCTTGTTGTCTGTTTGTTACAAACCTTGGCAGATGAGCCTGATTTTGCCTACTTAGGCCTACTTAGGCCTATTTAGCCAATTCTCCTCACATCAGCATGTATACAGCCAAGACTAAAGCTCTCTAGATAGTCATTCCTACACTCTGGGGGTGTCCAAAGCAGCATAGTCAGCAGTAGGTTTAATCTTTCCACAGATATCTCTAGAATCTAAAGGTGTGTACAGAGGGATGTTGTGTCTAATCTTATACATGATAGTCTTCACATAACTAATCTGCTTTGTTTAATTCTGGTGTTCCTCATAGTTTGGTTCTACCTACAGGTGTGCAATAAGATAATCTTCCTAACCAGCTTTGTGGGGAACCGTGGCACGTTCACAAGAGGTTACGGAGCGATGATCCTGGACGTGGAGTTTCTTTATCATCTCTTGTATCTTGTTATCTGTGCTATGGGTGTCTTTGTGCATGAGTTCTTCTACAGCCTGCTGGTGAGTCTTCCTGGTCCTCCACAGGTCTTGTTGGCTTAGTACAAATATGTATATGCGCAGCACAAGTCTTGGTGCTATTTACCACCCTAATGACTATTTTCCTTCCTTAGCTCTTTGATCTGGTATATCGGGAGGAGACTTTACTGAACGTAATAAAGAGTGTGACGCGGAATGGGCGCTCCATCATTCTTACGGCTGTTCTGGCACTGATCTTGGTCTACCTGTTTTCCATTGTCGGGTATCTCTTTTTCAAAGATGACTTTATACTGGAAGTGGACCGGCTGCCAAATGAGACCAACTTTCCGGGTGAGCTGCTGTATGTTTATAGAGGTGTCACTCTAGCCAAGCCGCTAATACACATCTGAAGTATGGGACATTGTTGACCAAATTAATAGTTTATGGAGCTCAGAGTTGGCCACTGTTGGATTTGGGGTGGTCTTGTGTGATTTGAGCACTAATGCCACTGGTCTACAGGGAGAAAGCCTGGGAAATTAAAGTAGCTAAATTTTACTAGAATTGTGTCACTAATAAAGGAAAAATTTTGTCCTGAGTATTGGCTCCAGTTTCCAAGATACAGCTTCAGGTCAAAATTCATAACTTTTCTGCAAAATGTGATATAGTCAGGGCCGGATTCGCTATCTCTGCTGCCCCAAGGCCGGGGTTCCCCAATGCGCCCCCTACCCGCCAACCCCCCACCCATGGAGAATGGCAGACCTGCAGGCTGCATACAAATGATCTCGGCAACAAAACAAGCGGCGGCTTCCCCGCTGCACATTTAACTCTGCTTGCCCAAAGCTGGTCTAAATGTAGAAAACAACTCTCCGCCCGGAGATCGGAACTGCATGTCCCATGCATCGGGAGATAGGAATTCCACACCCCTGCTGCCCCTCTACTCCCTGCTGCCTTGGTTGGTACCTTGGTTGGCCTTGTGGGAAATCTGGCCCTGGATATAGCAATGAGAATGGTGCCGCACCAATCATTATCAATTTATAGTGTGGTAAAGTTTGGGTCCGCTAACATCGACAGCCCCAGACTCCTGCTCATCGTCTTTATCATCTGTGTCTAGAGAGTAGGATTCTGGTGTATCTGGAATAGGCAAGTCCTTTCTTTGGGGTACAGGATGCAGTGTCGATGGAATGATGAATATTCCACAGTCCACTTTTTGCTTTCCTGAGATCCCTTTTGCATTGGGGGAACCATGCAAAAATAGCAGTCGCTACTATGATTTGTGGGTTCCCTCCACACCATTGGGACTGCGAAAGGCATGGACTTTTTCTTCATGTTTAGCCAATGACGCAGATAAGTTGCACATGTGATGCAACAATAATGAGGGGCCCAACTCTTGTCCTGATCCCCCTATTATGCCTTTTTGACCACTGCCATTCATACTGCATTTATGAGATGTAAATGTAGCCGAAGTTATCTCCGTTTACATAGTTTTCGGGGCATCTTGGCTTCTGAGGGAAAATATCACGTAACTGTTCCTTGGAAATGTTAGGCAATGACACTTTCACAAGCCACCAGGTGTGACTGTATGATGCGTAGCTCTGACCAAGACAAATGTACTTTGCAATAAAAGAACAGTAAATGACAGGTCATAATCTTTAGTTTTAAAGTAAAGTTAAATGTATACACTTCCATGCGGCACCATTGTCGAGAAGTTACGAGGCATCATGATCATCAGACACCTCCCTCCCTTGTAGGCAAATGTACTCGCCTGTGTATAAATCTGTATTGTGAAATATCTTGAAAACTTTAGCCAACCAACCAGAACCTTCATCACCTGTTTTCTAATTCATCTCATCACAATATGCAAGAATGAACACATTTTATCTCGGAGGTCGATCATTTCCCAAAATTTGTAGACCAGTGTAGTTTGGGTGCCATTTAAAGGAGAACTATGAGGTGAGTGAAAATCACTCATAGTTCTAGCCGACCTGTGACAATGAAACTGTCACAGGTCGGCTCAATAAATCGGGAAGTGAGCGAACGCATACCGTCGCCCGCTCACTTCTCGATCCTGTCCCTGCAGAGAGCCGTGACTATCACTCACGGCTCCCTGCAGGGATTCCTCCCCGCTCCGATCCTCCAGCGCTGACTGGCAGAGCGGACGGGGGAGATGGGCAGAGCCAGCTGTCACTCAGGCAGCTGGGTGGATCCAGACAGCATTGTCTGGATCCGTTCCGGCTGCGGCGTCGGTATACAGCGAGCTGCAGCTCGCGGTATACTGAGCTTTGGGTGACGGGAGAACGCTAGTTTGTGTCCTCCCGTTACCCTAAGGAGAACTATGGGGAAAAGCCCTGTCCCCATAGTTCTCCTTTTAATTATTCTGCCATTTGTGCAATTTAATCGGTTTGCAGCGGTGTACTTGCCAATAACTTGAAGCAAACTGGTTAAAAATGTGGAGATTGACACAAAGCGGTGATAACATGCAGTATCAGGAAATAAATACAATGTTTGCTATTGCTGACCCGAAAATGCTTGTCATCAGCAGTCATTGACCCAGAATGCATGGACAGCCAGTGCAGAACACCTAATCTGTGTACTTGCTCCATTCCAGGGTCTCCTAAAGCCCAGACAATTACCATGATGGGCAACTAGCCTTTTCAGAAATGCCAGGCCACATATTATCTCAACAGTTTTGCTTTAAGCCGTCCCGTGTAGTTTAGCCCAAAATGTCGCGGGGGCATCTAGGTCACTTTTTTTGCTTCTTCGTTGCAGAGACGGGAAGCACGATGGCCAGGGAGCTTTTGTATCCCGAAGTTTGCCGGTTGGAGTCTGGAGGTAACTGCACCCACGGTAAGTATTTATTTGGTAGAGATTTCTTCTTCCAGAAGATACAATACTGGTGCTGTAAATGATGATTGAACTATTCTTTTAGAAGAGCCATCCCAGGAAGGGGAGGAAGAGGAGGAGAAGGAGCACACCTGCGAGACCCTTCTAATGTGTATAGTGACTGTACTGAGTCACGGGTTGAGAAGCGGTGGAGGAGTTGGCGATGTTCTCCGCAAGCCATCTAAAGAGGTAAAAGAGGGCAGGGGTCTGATCAGGTTCTAAAGGTTGTCAGGACAAACACAATATTGGCTTGTGATTTTTTTTTTTTTTTTTTTT